GCAGAACGTGTTGATGTTCCTGGATGGAGGTGAAGATATGGAAGGGTCATACTGAGCAGAACGTGTTGATGTTCCTGGATGGAGGAGGAGATATGGAAGGGTCATACTGAGCAGAACGTGTTGGTGTTCCTGGATGGAGGAGAAGATATGGAAGGGTCATACTGAGCAGAACGTGTTGGTGTTCCTGGATGGAGGAGAAGATATGGAAGGGTCATACTGAGGAGAATGTGTTGATGTTCCTGGATGGGGACAAGATATGGAAGGGTCATACTGAGCAGAACGTGTTGATGTTCCTGGATGGAGGTGAAGATATGGAAGGGTCATACTGAGCAGAACGTGTTGATGTTCCTGGATGGAGGAGGAGATATGGAAGGGTCATACTGAGCAGCAGAACGTGTTGATGTTCCTGGATGGAGGAGAAGATATGGAAGGGTCATACTGAGCAGAACGTGTTGATGTTCCTGGATGGCGTAGAAGATATGGAAGGGTCATACTGAGCAGAACGTGTTGATGTTCCTGGATGGTGGAGGAGATATGGAAGGGTCATACTGAGGAGAACGTGTTAATGTTCCTGGATGGCGGAGAAGATATGGAAGGGTCATACTGAGCAGGACGTGTTGATGTTCCTGGATGGAGGACAAGATATGGAAGGGGCATACTGAGCAGAACGTATTGGTGTTCCTGGATGGAGAAGAAGATAAGGAAGGGTCATACTGAGCAGGACGTGTTGATGTTCCTGGATGGAGGACAAGATATGGAAGGGGCATACTGAGCAGAACGTATTGGTGTTCCTGGATGGAGAAGAAGATAAGGAAGGGTCATACTGAGCAGGACGTGTTGATGTTCCTGGATGGAGGACAAGATATGGAAGGGGCATACTGAGCAGAACGTATTGGTGTTCCTGGATGGAGAAGAAGATAAGGAAGGGTCATACTGAGCAGGACGTGTTGATGTTCCTGGATGGAGGACAAGATATGGAAGGGGCATACTGAGCAGAACGTATTGGTGTTCCTGGATGGAGAAGAAGATAAGGAAGGGTCATACTGAGCAGGACGTGTTGATGTTCCTGGATGGAGGACAAGATATGGAAGGGGCATACTGAGCAGAACGTATTGGTGTTCCTGGATGGAGAAGAAGATAAGGAAGGGTCATACTGAGCAGGACGTGTTGATGTTCCTGGATGGAGGACAAGATATGGAAGGGGCATACTGAGCAGAACGTATTGGTGTTCCTGGATGGAGAAGAAGATAAGGAAGGGTCATACTGAGCAGGACGTGTTGATGTTCCTGGATGGAGGACAAGATATGGAAGGGGCATACTGAGCAGAACGTATTGGTGTTCCTGGATGGAGGGGAAGATATGGAAGGGTCATACTGAGCAGAACGTATTGGTGTTCCTGGATGGAGAAGAAGATAAGGAAGGGTCATACTGAGCAGAACGTGTTGATGTTCCTGGATGGAGGTTAAGATATGGAAGGGTCATACTGAGCAGAACGTGTTGGTGTTCCTGGATGGAGGAGAAGATATGGAAGGGTCATACTGAGCAGAACGTGTTGGTGTTCCTGGATGGAGGAGAAGATATGGAAGGGTCATACTGAGCAGAATGTGTTGATGTCAGACTGGAGTGAGTAGTGACCCATATTGGCCTAGCGCTTTTTAGACTGGGTGGGTAGTGACCCATATTGTCCTAGAGAAGACCCAACCTAAGAAAACTTAAATGCAGCCATCAGGCCGGATCGGTAACATCCCGGTTCCTTCCTTGATGTGGATGTCCAGAAGGATGGTCACCACCACCACGTGTGGGCCTCTCAGTCCGGGAGAACCATGAGGCTAGGCCTCGGCTTACAGGAAGTGGGATGAATGACATTGGCCACCACTGAACCAGGAAGAAGGTGGTGCGGGGACTGGATGCAAGGAAGACGAGTCAATATTCTATTCAACATTTCCCTGAATCCCTCAGGATGGAGACACTCTGATCTGGCAGACCTTTCCTGATTGGAGGATCTCCATTTGGAGGGATTGTGGGAAATATTTCAGGTGTCAGTTGGGAGTATTACTCTTACATGTCTGACCACCTCCCACCCGTATACCACGAGTCACGACCAGCCACAAATGCCCGAGTCCATATACAGAGTCACCTCAAAGCGAAGGCAGAACCTCATCGGGCACCTGAAGCTCCGAGAAGCCACCTCAGAAGACGTGATCGGGGACCCAGCGAGGGAATGCTGATGATGGGCGGTCTCACATCTACTGTGTGCTGGTGAAATGTTCTCCTTCCCTCAGATCAGAGGGGGAGGGTAGGTGGGGAACCGGTGGAAGGTGTACATGTCTCACCTACATGTGACCAGGAGCTCCAGGATTGGGGACCGGTATGGAAGAAACAGACTTTGTGATCCCAGAATCCGGGAGGTTTTGTAGAGCTTTGGGTGGGATCAAACCTCCATCCCCAGGCCCACGTCCTCCCTGGTGGACCTCATTCCTTGTGTCAGAGGACAGTCCTTCATATTCTCTTCTGTCTCACTAAAGCCTCAGAGAGGTTCTACTCTGGACGGAGGGGGGTGGGGTGGTTACAGGAGTCGTACCCACAATGCACCTCAACCCAGAGTCGTCGTCCCCACCACCCAGCACGCACATATACAGAGATTACAGGAGGGGGAGGGGTGCCTGTACTCACTGCCCATAGGCCGCTGACCTCTTCTCTACAGAGGAGAATTCTCAGACCCGATGCGTTGTCACATGTAGACAGGAAGTGGCGTCCCATGACCCGTCAGGTACAGACAGGAAGCTCCGGTACAGACAGGAAGCTCCGGGTGAGAGGGGAGTCAGAAGTCCGTCCTCCATAATCACCTCACACAGATCCCGCCACACACATATATATAGAGAGAGATCTGTCATGTGACTACAAACCCCAACCAATCAGAGAGCCCCCCCTCGCACCTACT